CCAAAAGAAAAATAATATTAAAATAAAATCACCCTTTTTCTACAATTTCGTCACGTGGAAATCTAGCTACCTTTATCAACTCCTAAATCAAAACAAATAAATTAATTATTATAATAATACACTCAATCACCATACACGTGGCAGCTTCATGATATAAACTAATCAAATAAAATACTATAAAATACCAATTTCGAAATAATATAGATAATAAATAAATTTTTATTCAAAAATTTTGGGATGTTACAATCTCACCCCCTTAAAATAATTTCGTCCTCGAAATTACCTGCGTTCGGGTCCTCTGTTGTCCGTTCCTGGGCTAAAGCAAAAACTCGGGCCTTTCCCTTCTTTTCTTGTTCATCATTCTTATTCAAGGGGTCTTCTTTGCAATTTTTGGAAATATGCCCTATTTTACCGCATCGATAGCACACATGCTTCCCAAACAAACATTCACCACTATGCATTTTATTGCACTTTGGACATGGTGGAATGGCTTGTCCAAAACTTGATCCAAAATTAACCTTTTTATTCTGTCCCTCTCCCCTCCCTTCATTGGACACATTCCACTTCCTCTTTCCTGGTAACTTGGCCCCTTGCTGGGGAATTTGATCTATTTCCAACCTATTTGAGATTGCTTGGGCAGTTTGCAAAACGTGCCTATAGGTGGTGAATTAGTGGGACGCCATTATTCCACCAATCTCAGGATGCAATCCTAGTTCGAACGTCCTTGCTTTCTTTGCTTCAGTATCCACTAGGTGTGGTGCATATCTTGAGAGTTGTTCGAATTTTCTTTCATATTCTTCAAGTTTCATCTTTCCCTGTCTGAGTTGAAGGAATTCTGTCTCCTTGCAATCCCTCAGGGCTTGTGGGAAGTATTTTCCCATCATTTCCTCCTTAAATTGCATCCAAGTCAGAGCAGGTTGTTGTGCTTCTGTTCTAGTGCGAGATGCTGACTCCCACCAATGGCCTGCCGTGTCAACCAACATAAATTCTGCACATAGCACCTTTTGAGCATCAGTGCAAGATAGATGTTTGAAGATTCGCTCCATTCCTCTTATCCATTCTTCAGCTGCTAGTGGGTCTAACTTGCCATCGATAGTTGGGGGTTTATAGCGATGGAACTGTTCCACGATTGAGCTAGTGTTGTTAGCGTTTGTACCACGGGGACCACCTTGTGCTTGTTGCCTACCCAAATCTTGTACAGCCCTTAGCAAATCTCTGATGATCGTAGTTTGATTTTGTTGTTGTCTCGAAATTTTCTTAACACAAATAAAATTTTAATTTAGGAAAAAAAATGGTAAACACTTCTAATATTTTTGTAACAACGAAGAATTTAATATAATTTCCAAATCCTTACATATAAAAAAAAATTTGCTCTTTAAAAAATCAAATAAATAAATAAATAATCCAACTTTTCCTAAGAAAATAAATAACACTTATCCCTAATCTAGAATCTTCTTTTTATGCCGTCTCATCATCCGAAGTAATGCATGACTCAGGCTCGGAATCCATAACCAAATCAATGAAATTTTGTGGTTGGACTTCTTGCTCAGGGTCTTCTGGCTCTGGTTTGATCTCCTCCTCTGGGTCCTCCTCTGGCTCTGGCTCCGGCTCCGGCTCCGGCTCCGGTTCGGGTTCGGGTTCGGGCTCGGGCGCTGTTGTTTGTTGTCTATGGTTCCATAATATTATGATATCTTCACAGTATCCTTTAAAATC